GTGCTATGCCGACGTAATTTCCCGATGCATGACCGCACCGACGCCGACCGCAGCATCCGACCCGATGCTGCGGGCGCGCGCCACTGTCAACGGGACACACTTCCCGTGTGGAGATCCGCGACAGTTTTCGTGAACGAGCGCGCACTCATCTCCGGAACGGATAAGGAGTCTCTCTCTCTCTCTCTCTCCTCGACCCCGAAATTTTCCCGCCGCTTTCGACCCAAACTCGCGAAACTTCGCAGACTGCGAAGAATCTCGAACGTGTGAGCATACGGCAATCGAACTTCCACTTCCTTTGAGTCCCGAATAAGTAACGACAATTTCCCTCTCGGAAGTCGGAAAGAGGAGCCCCGAAAACACGGAATTTCACACCGAGGCGGGATTCGGCGGCTTTTAAGTGGCGGCTGTAGCTTCTCTGGGCGGAATCGAAGACGGCCGATGGGCGATAAAAATCTGAAGCCTGAGAAATCCAGATTTTTCCCAAAATGGGGGAGGGGAAATTTCGGACGGACTCCGACTTGAATTGCCGGTTCTCTCGGCGGGAAGAGCTACTTTAGATTTACCGATCTACTCGCCCTCTCAACCGTCTCCGTTTATTCGAGCCCTCTCCCCTCCCGCGAAAATACATCAAAGTGTACGCGAAGGAGGTCGATTGAACGATTCGAAGGAAAATGTGTATTTATAAATGTCTGCTCGCAGCCTGCGGGAGACAAGGAAGCCCGCGCTCGATGCGGCGCTCAACGACGCGGAAGTGATGATTTTCTTCCACCACGGTCGCGTCTCGAAGCGAGTGGTTTTTCCGTCGAGCGACGTGACGTTGAAAATTTATGACGACGCCTCTGATGATCGCGTTATCGTGGACCGTTTTGCGATGCACGATGTTTACGGACGGCGTAAGTGGAAGAGGCCGACGCATAAATTTCATCGAGCCTCGACGCCGGCGGATCAATCATGATTACGCGTGCGGTAGGCGTGCCAATGGTCGGACAAACGCGTAAATCACGAGGAGGGAGGTGGGGGGGAGGGGGGCGCGAAACAGTTCGCGTGTCCGTGGTGATGCATCCTTATGAATGCAAACATTTTCGACGTAAATCGATCGAACGCCGGCCACTTTGAATTATTGCCATTTCCAACATACGGTGCGGGACCAGACTTCCTGTTAAATAACACACCGTCCTTATGTTGAAAAAATTACCGTGTATCGCTGACACTTCGACATCGCATAAACAAATCAATAATTCACTCGGATATCCTTTCAACCCGATGGTTTCCAGGAAAATTGATCACATACGTGAAATTCTGTCGATGTTGCGAGCACACCTTTTCGGAATATCTCTAAACTACCCTGTGTGATAAATATATTCGGTCGCATGTGGGTGGCTTACGCTAAGATCTCGCGTCTCGGAACGACCTCATCTGTCTTATCACGAGATAACAAGGACAACGCGAGTGAAAGAAATTACCCGAATATCTGACGTAAAAATGATCGCAATCGTGTGATTTTATCGTGCTTTCGTTTGTTCGAAAGGAACGATAACACAAGGGCGTTTCTCCGACGCTTCACTCGATCGCGAATACGGCAATCGAGATTGGATGAAGCGTCGTGCGCGCTTCCCCGTAACGAGATGTAAACAAACGTATTTTTAATTGCTTCGCCTGCATCGAGCACCCCGAGCGGTCGAAGGATTGCGCGGTTTTGCACTGCGGTTGTCCATTTTTATTCAAACCGCGTATCTGTGTCGCCGCGAACAGAGAAACGCGGCTCTCAGCCCGAAGCCCCCTCGGTGGATTTCAACACCGAAGATAAATTATATAAATGAATCATCTGAATAAGTTATTTTTAGTTCGCAGTGCGGAGTGAAATCCCGCAAAACTCGCGCAGCGCTTATTCTCCTATCCGGTAAACATTAACTAACAATAATATTATATTAATATCACAATACCCCACTTAGCAATGTAATTGTAACATAGCACGTATCGTACATAACACGTTACATCGTTGAGTAAGAAATGATATAACATCGATGTAATAATAGTTGGTGTTCACTGGGCGGTGCACAAACGCGGCATCGCGATAGAAAAGCGAAAGGCGCAAAAACGTGCGGATCCAAGCCCGTGAAGTTCAGATGCCGGCGAAAATTTAAACGGATTGCCCTGCGAATAAGCGAATTACGATACCCGTGGATCGGGGGAAGTCTTTGAATTTACTGCGAGAGGTTTCGCGGGAAGGCCTCGTTCCCCGAAGTTTTCGGGGGCGAACGTAATTTCCCAACAGGTTCGATTTTCCACGATTCTCGCTCGGAGTTTCGTTCGAGGATTCTCGAGTTCGAAAGTCAATCGAACAGTCCGAAGCTAGCCGGGCTGGCCGCCGAGAGAGGAAGGTCTCGGCCCGCGGGAGAGAGAAATCGCGGTGTTAAAAACGGGCTTGATTTAAATCGAGATCGAGCCTCGCGAAACCTTCACGCGGGGATGTCGGCCCGGCGACGAACTCTGACCTTTGATAGCCGTCGCCACTGTGCATTCGAAGCAACGCTTCACGTTCCGCTGATCAAAGGACGCGCCTCGCCCGGTGCATTTGCATGCATACGTATATACGTTATTACGCGTGTATGCGGCGCGCCCGATGCAGTTAGCAGCCGACGTTTTCGCGGACGAGACGGTCGAGGGGAAGGACGACCGAATCGGTCTCTACGACTATTTCGTGTCCGACTGTTCGAGCGACAGTCGTCCGCATTGAACGATCGGCCTTTTTTCCCCAATCATTGCTGGTCTCGGAACTTGCGTTCTCGAAGTTTCGAACTCGAGAGCCCCCGAGAAAACGACACATTTCCCTTCGCGCAAGTGAAGCTCCCGGTTCTTTATCCTCGCGGATCTGGATTCAGCGCGCAAAAAACTGTGAGAAACTGTTCTTCTTTTCCAGACCGGGAAAAGAAGTCAAATTTTGCCGATTTGTGTAATTAATAGTAAATGTTCTCAAATATATGCGCTAACATCACTGACGATCATACATGCGATATTTCGATTCTGAACTACGGTTTTTCTCTAAAACTCGAAACTGTGTCCCATATTTCGGCATTTTCCTTTATATATACAGCAGGGCATTTCGATTACCGCGTATCTATTTGGAATTTACGCTTCCGCAACCAGTATAAACGATCTTGCGACTGGATGTTTTAACGATTAAAGTAACTCCTAGGTGAGTGGATAATAAAATCGTGTTCTCGTTGGCTCAGCTAAGTTACGCTTTATCGAGAAACACGGCAGTAACAATAAAGTTACTCTACTGGTACTGCACATAATTTTTGCGAAACGCAAACGGCGCGGTATATATCTTCGCAAGAGGAAGAATCTTCTCACGGAGGTAGTTAATTAGATTTCAGTAATGCTACACTCAGAGAAATTATAGTTATTAAAACCGTACGTAATTACGAGGGATATTTCGAGGGCAGGTACTTCGAACTTAGAGGTACTGAATACGCGATAGTACCTTCAAATTTGGAAGTACGTGCCTCGTGGTGTCTCCAAATTCGAGGTACGTACCTTGAAACGTCCCTCGTAATTATGTAGGGCTTTTATTTCAACATGCACGTCCAATTCCGGCAATATATATATTATAACTTACGCCCGATTTCACTGTCAACCTGGTTTAAATCGAAACGACGATTTACCCAACGGAATTGACCAATGCAACCAATCGTCGATAAGATTTTAAACCATGATGGTGGAACCGAGCATTAGAGACACGAATCTTCTTCCGTGGGAAACTTCGCAATTTGATTATTCTCCTGTCGCCCGAGAAAGCTGAAAGCACGGGACTTTGCTTTACCAGACTCGAACAATCGGCGGATCTATCGGAAGCTATCAGCGGGTGGCGTGTTAAAAACACACCGGGATACTCGACGATCGTATATACGCGCCTTCTCGCTACTCTATCTCCCCTCCCTTCCCACCCCGGCTCTGTGTGTCTCGTGTGCACTATCGATTCACCCTCGCGGCCTTGTGCTTAATTGAATTAGTATCGGGCTAAAAAAGGATGACCTTGAGTCAATTAACGGCGGGATGGAATAAGACGAAGTGGCACTCGCCGCTCGCAGGAACGACACAAAAAGAGAAAGTTCCTCTTTAAGCCGCGATTAATCCCCGCGGTTATGATCCTCTCAGCGGCCATATTTCGCGAGCATGCCCACTGTGAAGTAGCGGCCATTAATTTTTGCCGACACTTATGGAAGATCGACGAGATTTTTCAACGGCGCCCGTCGAATTCGCCGACACGCGCCGTCGGCGTGTTTTTCCTTTCTCCCTCCCCCCTCTCTCTCTCTCTCTCTCTATCTCTTTCCCCATTACCTTCCTCCGTCAGATAAACGAGAAATTTCTTACCGATCATCCAGAAACATTCATCGGATGAGGAACGAATGTTTATAATATTACCGTCGGGCCGATTCGCGCGGAGATTACTTTTCCGATAAAAATTTCAACGCTAAGCGATTTCCCTCTCGCGGATCCGTGAAAACGGCGGTGCATGCGAAAGCCCTATCATTTATCAAAGCCATTTCCCACTCTCTCTCTCTCTCTCTCTCTCCCTCCTGATTTCCGATAATTCGAATTTACATTTCCGACGAAGGGACAGCGTTCCGCGATCGATCCGTCTCACCGCGCGACACCGGGTCCTTCCGCGTCGTCGTGAAACCGAAGGCCTGTTCTTTCTCGCCGAGCTGAACTGCACCAGCTTTTACACCGGTTCTCTTCCCCTCTTCCTTCCACCAAGTCTCAACCGTACACCTGTCTTTTTTAAAATTCTATAAGTGGTTCAGCGAAAGAAAACAGACCCCGAGCAGCTTCGGCAGGAACGCGCGATCTCGATGGCGCGCGCGCGCGCGCGCGAAAAACCGGAACTTCGAAGCGGCGATCGAAGAAGCGGATCGGAGCGGAATTAGCGGACTAGTTGGGTGGAGAGGGGGGNGGGGGGGGGGGGGGGGGGGGGAGTGAAGTGAGATGCGTACCAGCCTGCGGCCGCACTGGCGAACCGTCGGGCACGACGATCTTGGTCTGCGACTTCGGCGTGCCCTCGCTCATGGTTTCGACGCGTCTTCGATTTTCCGCCGGCCACCGGGGGTAGCAAACGCGAGACCCCCTCTTCCAGCTGCCGCCCGAAGCTCAGTACCGTGCACGCTTCCCCGATGCCCGCGGATCGGCGGTTTTCCTCCCGCCGAGCGAGCTACCCTCTCCTTCGGCTCCAAGTTCGTTCGTTCAGACTGATCGCTCAGACACGATGTTCCAGGGGGATTTTCCTCCGGTCACGCGCCGCTGACCTCCTCGTGATCTCGCCCGACGACGGTGCGAGGGAGCGTCGCTCTGGAGAGGACGATCGCGAGATCGGCCGTCCTCGACGGAGGGAGCGTGCGGAGACTCGCCGATGTGTCCTCTCGCGAGAAGCGACCGGCTGCAATCGCCTGACATTCGTCGACGTAGATCGGGGGGATCCCGGGTCTCCCTCCGGGTTTCGGCGCGCACGATCGAGAACGCCTCGATCGTTACCGGTTGCGCCGAGCGGGACGAGCGGCGTGGCGAGATCGATGCCTTCCCGGCGGCGGAACTCTCGATCGGGGCTCGCGCGCACGGTCCGAGCGTCCCTCTCGTCCGACGACTCCGCGACTTACTTTTCCGCCTCGATCCCTCCTCGCCAACCCTCTCGCGATCTGGGAGGAGCCGACGCGCGCCGCGACACGGTGGCGATCGGCGTACGTACGGCCGAGGCGGGCGCTCGCTCTCTCAGTCTCTCAGCGCGGGTGCATCTGTCTCCCTTCCCCCTCTTCCTCTGTCTCTCTCTCTCTCTCTTTCCGGCAGGCGGTGTCACAAGGTCACGAGATCACTGGGTTCGGCTGGATTCACGCGCGCTGGCGTACGTACGTACGGCACGTTCGTGATCGATCGGTTGCTCGCTCGCTCTCGGTCGCAGCTCCGACTCGCGGAGAAACGCGCTCGATCGCGATCTCTCTCTCTCTCTCTCTCTCTCTCTTTCGCTACACACACACACGCATGCACGCATACACACACACACACACACACCGGACACACGCGACCGCGTGATCGCCCTCCTCAACTTCGCTCAGATTCACTCGGAATACTCGGGAATGTCCAGCTCACGCGATTCCCACGAGAATCCGGAGGGAGAAAGAGAGAGAAAAAGACAGAGGAGAGATATTTCTGAATCTCACAGGCGTATACGAGCGAATGTTGCTGCCGATGCCGTTGCTATCGCGAGCGAGACCCCCGCGATCGAGACGGCACCGGGAGAGCAAACGGCGAGGCGCAGACGTCGGGCCACGGCGGAACGAAGGGCGCGCTTTGCGTCGGACTGGAGCGCGCGGGACGTATCTACTGCGCCGCGGCTGACTAGAGCGCGGACCGTCGCTACTGGGCGCGCGGAGCAGTGGTACGAGCCGAACAGACTGGCTCCTCCGGCGCGCTGCGGAGTCACGGGTCACCACCCTTGCGCGTCTCTTCCTGGACCAGCTTTCTCACTCGCTCTCTTCTCTGTTCAACCACTTTCCCTCCCCCTCTCTTTCTCACTCTCTCACACACACACACACACACACACACACACTGTCTTTCTCTTCCTCCCTTTCTCGTTCTCTCACCGTCCCCTCCCCTATTTCTACTTCCCTTCAGATACACTCTCTCTCTCTCTCTCTCTCTCACACTCTTCCTTTCTCTCTTTATCTCTCTTTCTCTCTGCCGACGTCTCGTGCCTCCGTCGCGCCGATCGCCTCAACGTGTCGAGCGTGCAACGATCGTGCCCGACTCCCATGCGCGCGCGACAGCTTTCCCTCGCGGAAAACGTCGACTGCCACCGCGCGCTACTGCGAGGAGGTCGCTCGCACAGTGATGGTGAGGCGCTCTCCCCGGCTTTTCCGGGGGCACCTCTCTCTCTCTCTCTCTCTCTCTCTCGTCTCCCTTTGCACCCCGCCACGTCGCGCGCACACGTTTCCAAGCCTTCTCCTCTCTCGGCGATCTCGCCTCCTTCTCGCCACCCCGTCTCACCGCCCGTGTTTCTCTCTCTTTCTCTCTCGCTCGTTCTCGCGGAGGACCGCGAGGCGTCCCGGGCGTAGTGAGCAGCTCTCACCCGCTTTTCCACCCTGGTACGGCGCCTGCGCGCCCCGGGGATGTCTCCCTCCACTCTCCCTCGCCTCCTAACACCCCTCCTGCCTGTATCCATTCCACGGATGCCCTCTCGGTCTCTCTTTCGCGGTCCACGCCACCCATCCTCCCTCCCTCCGTCTCTCCTCTCCCTCGCCGCCCGTCCCCGATTCTCCTCTCATCCAACCGCGCTCTCTCTCGTCCTCTCTCGCCGCCGCTTTTTCCCTCCTACCTTCTCTTTTAGGCGGCCGCTGCATTTATCGGCCGTTCTCTCCCATCCTCCCACGCGGGCGCGCGTTATCTTACTCGACCGCACGCGTACCCTCCGCGCCGAGGGCTGCCCTTCCGGACCGGCACATGACGTTTTCGGATCGCTCGCGGATCGAATTTGGATGGCCGTCGCGCGAAAGCAGGTCACGGTTTCGTCTTGCGAGAGGGAAAAGAGCGCGAAACGATCGTCACCGGCTGCCGCGGGACGCGCTGGACGAGGGGTTTTGCCGCCGACGACGCTCTTAATTCCTCATTAATTTCCGGCACTTGCTCGCGTGTGAATCTTCTGAGCGCGCGATCCGCTGTGTATCTAATTCATCCCTCGCTCTCGCCAGATCGAAGAGGGATGAGAGCGCGAACGAACTACTGGCGTCGACAACGTGGAATTATCGGTGTGAGTACGCGTTAAATCGCGATGAATCGCCGCTCGCGAATAAATCGACAGCGCAATTTTGCCGAACGTCATTTGCCGGGAGAGGCATGTCTTTCCTCTCGGTAAACGCCCGCTGCACAGGAGAGGCGAGCGAGCGAGAAAGAGAGAGGAAAGGGGGAGGACGCCCTGGTGGCGCGTTATTTTCCTCGCAACATCGGCTATTTACGTTCACACCTACGGGGCGAACACATAAAGCGAGGCTTAAAGCCCCGACCTTAAACCGAAACGCTGGCTTTAAGCGGGGCTTCGCGACGTAAAAAACAAGAAGAAGTAGAAGCCCGAGCGGCACTTATGACAGCTGTTGGCGATGTTACACGAAGCGTCGTACGATGCGAATCTGTACGGTGAGCGCGGCAGGTGTCACTCGGAGGGTGACGGTATACGCGAAGATTACGCCCGCGAATCATCTCCGGGTGCCATATTTCCGTAATACGCGAAAGCTTTCAGCGTAACCGAGGTACCAGTGGGATGAAGAAGTATACTGCCCCGTAGCCTCGACCTTTTTTCCACAGTAAATATATACGGAAGGGAGAGATATCGTCAAGCCATCCGCGTGAAAACATCTCTATGTATACGGTGGTATTCATTTGTATCAATATGAAAAACGAGAGGGAGAGCAGCTGCAGCGGCAGCACTAAAGCGACGTGTATCTTCCTCACGTAAGATCATCTTGAAGGAAGAAACGTGCGCAGACATTCTTCTATTCATTATCGGTCGGTCGGTCAAAAGAAAGGCAAAAAGGAATTGCAACATTTTTCTCGAGAAGTTCCCCAACGCATCCCGTGTCCGATAGAATTTGTTTGTTTTTTTTTTTTAGTCATTTACAGGAGATATATTTTACTATTGGATACGAGATGCGTTGTAAAACTCACTCGAGAAAAAAATGTTGCAATCTTTTTGCGACCGACCATACATGCGATGGTTGCACGAAAACGAGATCGAATTAAAAAAAAAAAAAGCCACGTGTCGATATTCGATATCGAGACTGCAGCCCGAACTGGCTGAGCCAACCTTAATTAACCTTATTTGTCCTGACATAAGTGAATGAAACTTATCGATCTAACGATCCAATTCGTCGTTGTACGACGGCCAGTACGATTCCAGCGCGCAAGCGAAGGTAGCGAAAATGAAAACCGACAAATTTCACGGAGACGGCTCGATGGTTCGTATTAAACTCGTATCGCATCCCACCGCGATCTGGCTAATAGCCGGATGTAATTTAGCTCCCCCGTAACGTTTCCGCGTTTACAGATAACGGGCTGCTTTCGAACTGCCGTCTTTTTCCGAAATGGCCCGCCGTCCTCGCGCGAAAATTCTCCCCCGTTAGCGAACGGAAGAACTTTATTTGCTGGAATAAAACTCGCCCCCGGTAAGTTCTCTCGACTTCTCACGGAGTCCGATTGTGCTCGCTCGTGGAGTTTGACGCGAAATCTGACGGAGTAACTTCACCGGATCCGTCCGTGTGCTTTATTTTCGCGACGCGTTCGACAAATATACTCTCGTTTACCTCGCGCGATTATTCAACGCACGCTGAATAAGTCAAATCGCACGTCGCATCGCTCACGGGATACGAAATACGCGATTGTGAGACGCTCAACTTTGCGCATACACCGCGCTTCGAAGGGTTCGTTTCTTCATCTTTTCGACGGACGGACAATGAATACACAATTTCCTCACCTCGTCATCCTATCCCTGAAAAAAAAAAAAGCTTCTACATGGATATATCGTATCCTTAAGAAAAGGAGTTAAAAAAGGAACTTCTGTAAAGATAGAAATTCGATAAGATTTCTAAGAATATAAATTTACCGGCCAACTACCTCAAGTGATACGAGATCACGCAACAGTAGAACAACCTCACGCGAACAGACGAAGATCTCGATCCAGCGCTACGTCGCTTCGCAAAAAAAGAAAGAAAATAAAATTCAAAAAGGTTACACCGGTTCGTCGGTCGACGAACGTTTTTTCGATGCAAGTCAAACTTCCCCTCGGCTTCGATTATTCCCCGAACTTTTGTATTCGCCCTGAATTCTCTCGCGCGTCTCGCCTTCGTTCTTCGACTCGCTGGTTACGAACGGTAAAGAGACGAGAAGGGAGCGAGAGAGGAGGGACCGAGGGCCCCCTTTAAAATTCATCGTTGCCATATAACGCCTGAGAAGGACATCGACGTCATAGGACAGCGAAATTATGCAGGCAGTTAACTCATCCATTATGCCAAGTAGCATAGTAAAACCGCGCTATAATAAAACCGCGTCGTGTTAACTCCTCGGGCAGCTTTCCCCGAGGCGAAATTTAATTTTAACAAAATAATCCGTATAATCGACCCGTGTGTGTTACACTCGCGTCTGAAAATGCAAGAAGTACCTTACTCGAAACCCAAGCGTAGTGAAAACGGCCTTCGTTTCTCCGTCATTGAAGAACCATATTTAACTCAGTTTTTTTATGAATTTTTAAATATTATGTAAGTTCGATTAATATTCTCTAAATACAGTGTGTCAAAAGTTGTGTGTCATAAATTATGTTTATAATCATTTAAAAACTCGTATGAATCCATATAAAATAATAAAAACCCATATGGGATTCCACATGGTTTGTGAAAATTCATGTAAGAATTTACATGGATTCCTACCTAGGATCTGGGTTTTTGGCGCAAATCCCAAGGGACAACCATGGGATTTCATAAGGATTTCTTATATGAATTCCCACCTGGTTTTTTCTCAAGAGTAACTACCTTAAAACAGAGAATGTCACCCCGGAGAAAAATTTTTCTACCAAATTGGTGGGAGAGATATTCAAAATCACGCAGTTTAGGATATATATACGAGTATATATATAGATTTGTAGTTGAAGCGGCAAGAATGAATGCCGTTCGATCAGGTTCCCTCGCCGTGACAGAATCGACCGGCGAGATGAGGTATGTTACTCGTTAACGCGACCGCGAAAAAACTGACACACACCTGGCGACAGGGCGCTCTTCGTTGCGTTGTCGTCGTCATTGTCGCCGCAGGGAAAACTTGCAGACGGACAAAGACAGCGAGATATACAATTGCGGAATTTATAATGCAACGGCAATTTAACTTTCGGCTGCGTACGGCGCGGACAAATCGGCGAGGATTTAACTCGCCCGGCGTCCGGGGCGCTGCGCGCTAAAATTTGCACAGCGAGCGTACCGTTCGGGTAAATTTGCGAGCGTGCAACCCAGTTGCGAATTTCATGTCTGCCGGCTTAATTAAGGCAGCGTTATACGCCCGGTTCGTGAACGCGCACGACGATGAATGGCGTGTTTTCGAAAGAGAGAGCGAGAGAGAGACGGGAGGGCACGTTTAATGCGTCCGTGTAAAACCATCTACGTATATTTCGCGCGCGCTGCTCTCGTAAAAACGTTATCGCCGTCGACTTTTGCGCGCCCGTCGGCCGATCCCGATAAGGAAACTGCTCGTCGGAGCGAGATAATGAAATCGATGGCGAAGTTTCCGTCCGGCTAACTTTTCGTCAGCGAAATTGTCGTAGAGACGGCGAGCCGTCTCGTATAAGGATATCTCCGTGTTGTCGAGCCGCATATTGCGTGCAATTCGAATAAAACTCTCGATTCCTCGATGCCACGGTGCTGCTCCGGTTGTTCTCGTGCTACTTTTGTGCACGGGGGCGGACGCGCTGATTTAATAACTCGAGTCGAAGTTTCGCCGCGGCTGCGGATCTTTCTCGTTCCGTAAGTTCGCGTAAACCACTTTGCGCGCGTCGCGCTTGGACAATGAGAAGGAATATCGAGCTCTCTCTTTCTCTCTCGTCGACGTCTTTTTACCGTGCTGGTAAACTTTCGGTGGACCGGCGAGAGCCGTATTCCCGCAAATTGCCGTGAGCTGACGAAGACAAGTCACGCGCGATTCTTTTTCTCTTTACATCTGGATACTACGAAGGGTAAGGCGGAGCTAGTTGGGCAACTTTTTGTTCAAACTCTTATAAATCTTCCCACGATTATGACAGACTCATGAGAATTGATTTAAAAATGGTAACATATTTATCCGGCTCGCTAATG